CTCAGAATATTGAGCTAGCCCATCCGCCCCAATCTCACTGAAATATATTTCACTTTCCAATTCTGAATCATTTGGAATGCAGCCAGCAGTCCGTAGGAACAGTTACCCAGGACAGCCATCTGCCACCTGCAGACCCTTCTTACTCCCAAAAGCCACAACCCAAGTCAGAATCCTGTAGAATGTAGTCGTAGTTCTTCACAAATTGCCAGTGAATGTTACAGGGCTTGCTTTTTTCCTGTGCCTTACTATGACAGTTTCCACAAACTGCACTAATCCAGTGGTAGGGTTTATTAAAATATTGCATGAAAAAGGCATTCTTATAGTTGATTTCAAAGCAGTTTACCAGTACTTTTTCTATTTAGAATTGTGGTTCAGCAGCAATGAAAGCTTTGAGCCCACTACTTCTAGCCATGGAGGAGGAAAAGAAGTGTGGGGGGCAGGGGAGTGCAAAACAATAGTTTGCTATGTCACAAGGATTCATCCAAAAGAAAGCTTACATTGTACACAATTCTCCGTTGTGGGTGCAGATTGTAGATAGAAATTGTGTCCCTATCTAACATGAAGTGTCATTGTCAATTGAAAGGTGACCTATGCTAGAAACCTGAAATTCTTTACAAGAACCTGTCAGTTTAGTTTGGCATAATGGCAGGAGTGATGAATTTTTGGTATAGCAAAGCAAAACTAGTAATTTCAATTTTTGGATAATCATGTACATCCCATAGATTTTGAAGTCTGCATGGAGTTTACATGGTATTTCAGTACTCAGGTACTGCTGTTAAGAAAAACATGGGTGCCGAAAGTGGGGAAACACATCTTTTTCTTATTTAAGCACACTGATTCCATGCTCCCAGCAGGTTTTCGGGAGGTACTTTAAAATACAGTTTTTAAAAGCCTGGCCATTCTTTTCTGGATCTAGTTCTTGGCTCTCTCCTTGTCCTTTCTCCAGTCAGAAAACAATTTTCAAACTTTTCTGTATGACTGAAAGGTTGGACACAAGTACCAGGTGGAGAGCTTACAAAAAAAGATTTGCATGCCATATCTTGTACTTGGATTTGACAATTTCAGTGGTACAGATTTGACATACTTCATAAAAGTCTAAACTAGTAATAGAGTGAAGAAGTAGTTTTATAAGTACCAGCTATTTCTGTTCACTGCTTGAAAGCTAATTTTCAACTGTATTATTCATCTGCTTACCAAAAACAGACCTCATTTGGGAGTGGGTTCCAAAAGATTGCTTTTGTGGGAGAAGTGTCCAGCAGTGTAATAGCAAGGACTCCGGGTTTCCTGTGTAATCCTGTGTTGGACCTGTGTTTTAGAAATGCTGTGCTGCTTTGAACATTACTCCAAGCATATGAACTAAATTCATTCCCTACTTTAAGATGTTTTTCAGCAGTGGCAGAGAGGTATCATGTTCAAGAGGTGTCATGTTATCTGCAACAATCTAGGAAGTTGGAAATGTTATATTTCTTATGAAATGCGTATGTGTACACACAGGGAGTCTGTTTTGATGATGTTAAACAGTTGTTCATATTGAATTTTCATTTGCTTAATTTGAAGTTTTAATTCATTTTTGGTACGGTACCTGTTCGCATTTTTTAAAATTTTAATAACTAATATTTGCCTGATGATAATTAACTGTGATTATGCTCATTGAACTGAATTTCTTTAACCCAGTTTTCTTCCTATCTATACAAAATAATTGTATGTTCCTATATGCTATAGTCTGTAGCAGTGATGGCAAACCTTTCAGAGACCAGGTGCCCACACTGCAACCCAATACCCACTTATTTATCGCAAAGTACCAACACTACAATAAAACCTGAAAACTGAGGTTTTAGTTTAGAACAAACAACTTACAGCCAGTCCAAGCAAATATATATATATAGCCTTGGCAGCGAACTAACTGGACAAATGAAAGCTCAGACAAGTGGGGGCTAATGAGTCGCGGCACACGACATCATCGCCTGGCACCGCTACTCCTTTCCAAGCATGCGCATGGCCCCTGGGTGTGCTGTTATCCAATGCTTAGCTGCTGGGCAGATGCTGGAGCGACATAGCTCACCTGCTGACAGAGAGGGCTCTGGGTGCCCACTGTGGCACACATGCCATAGGTTCGCCACCACTGGTCTATAGGAATTCTGTACCACTGCCCAGACTTCCTACCCTCTTGCCCATGAAGCTCATTGGGTGACGGTGGGCTGCGCACATGCTTTCAGCCTAGCCTAACCTGCCTCACAGCTGTTGTGAAGATAAAATGGAGCAATGGAAGCAACCTTGCATGCTCACAAAAGGGGGAAAATTATATATGTGCAATTTAAGTAATTAAAATAACAACACTATCCTCTTTGGCCATTACTGTAGGTGAGCAGTAGTAAGAAATAATTTCTGTTGAACTGGGATGGGTAAACTTTATTCTCATATAGTTCTGTCTTTTTCTTGCTTTGCCCTCTCTGCCACAAAAGGAAAAGCTTTTATCTCTGGTCAGCAGTTGATTCAGGAAAGAAGACAGGGCCAAGGGTAGAGATGTAAAATTTCCAGAAATTTTGTCACCATGGAAAGAAACTTTTTTTAAAATCCCCAGTAAAAGAACTAAAATATTTGGAAAAATTTAAAATAGCAACATTAGCACCCTTTATAGGCAAGTAAATTTGTTCCTTTAGGAACATTACACAGACACATGGTTTGGAGTAAATTTAACTTTTTAAATGTTGTGTCCTGAACAGTGAGGATCACCTAATCTGTAAGGAAGCTCTTTAAGTTTTGACAGTTTATGAAAGCAGGGAAGAAACCTATTTTTTTTAAGGAAACCAGCAATGTCATGAAACAAAGATAATTGTCTCTCCTCTAGTAATATCCATAGGACCTTTGCTTTATGTTGGTTGCAAATTGACCTGTTATATAACTGTATTTCATGGAGCTTGCATGACTCATGTCTGGAACAAGTAGATTAACAATCTCATCTGATTCCCTATTGCTGGTTATTGGTTGGATTTCATTACTGGTCTGTATGGAATACTGTTTGGGACTGATCCAGTAGCTGTTGAAGACTGGCCTGCAAAGTGTAAAGGAAAATGCACACAGCAGGAAAAAGCAGTTGTCAATACCTCGGGCACATAGTTGCTGAGCATGGATGCATAACAGTGATTTGTGAGAAAGGGAACTGAGTGCTGAATCAGTGCTCATGCTTCACTCTCCTCCACTCTCCACAAGGTAGGGGAAAAGTACAATAATCATTAGTCTACTTGGCCCTTCCCCATTGGAGGTTGTGATCTGGCAAAGCAGAAGTACCCATGGATGCTCCAGCAGTGAGAATAGTTGGAATATTATACCCAGCCCTGGCCAACAGAGACCTTCCAGGCATGTTTCTCGTGTGTGTGTGCCAGGAGAGGGCCCTGCTTCTCACTGTTAGGGAAGAGTATCAGAACAGTTGAGAGAAAGCCCAGTATTTGCATATGGCAAATGATAGGGAGAGAAGATGTGGGAGACAATTGGAACAATTACACATTGCAGCCAGCGTTGCTAGTTCCCTTGCTTGTGTGTGTGTGTGTCACATTCTGTCCTGACATGCCCAGTTGTTGCACTAGCTTGGTGTTGGGTACTTGGTTGTCTGAATCCCAAGCCGAGTCCCAAGCTGAAGTACCTGCTAGGGTTCAGAGCAGAAAAGCTAGAAATGTTTTCAAGTTTCTGTGGGTTGTGAAGCCAGCCTGTTCTGTGCAAAGTGGTCACTTCATACACACATACCCTTTTCTCCAGTTGCCTTTCACTAGGCCAGCCCTTGTGGTCAGAGAGTTATACGAGGACCCTATCCATCTGCAGTACAGTCTTTCTGTGTGAAGTTGTGGTCTTTATGCCAAATACTAAATCCTTCGACCAACAGTTCTTCAGTACTTGAATGCACCCTAAAATGGTTACTCATTTAGTTAGTTTAGTAATTCTTGTAGACTTTTCATAAGGCTATGCTTGTTGCACAAATATTTGAGTGCTCGTTTTACCCGAGAGGAAAAAGATCCCAAATCCCATTTCATCTCAGGGGAGATGCTAACATACCAACAACTCTTGAGTGAAGAGGTTTTTTAATTGAGAAACCAGCTGCAGTAGGATGAAGCCTTGGCTCATGCCGAAGAGAAGCTTCACCCCCCCCCCCCATATGATCACAGTCCATTAAATTTCTCTATCTCCCAAGGGCCTACAATCTCAGCAACCAATCAGCAAACTCTGTCATCTACTTGCATGTTCTACCTAGTCATTGTCTAGCTTAGTATTGCTTTCTCTAACCTAACCTTGACCGGCACATCTGTAACTCCAGAGATAAAGGCACTTAGGGAATGTACTTGCTTCAGCTCTAAAGATTAAAGCATTCAGGGAGTGGACTTGTTTCAGCTTTCGAGACCATTACTATCTAAATACAAAACTAAAATAAGGATATGAATATACATTTATACTTCTAAGCTGCCTTTTTGTATAACATGCTCATTTATTTATTTTTAGAATAATTTCTTTGTAAAACATCTTTAGCCACCCTATTGCCTTTGAAACTCAGATCCATGGTTGGATAGATTTATTCCCATCTTCATTTTAAAAAGAGCAATATAATACATTATTGCTCCATTTCCACTGTTCAACTCTTTTTGAATTTCTCCAAATAAGCTTTCTGCTCATCAAAGAAATATTCATTCATTTTCTATGCTGCCCAATAACCAAAGCTTTCTGGGCAGTTTACAACAGCACATTAAAACTACAGTATAAAATATACCATATTAAAACATCATTAAAAAGCTTACTATAACAAAATTTAAGACCAAATTTAAAACAGATACATCTTTCAGGATTTCTAACCATGTGTAGTAAATTGTAAAATAAAATAAAATTGGAAAACAGAATTGTTTCTCTGGTCTTGTAAAAGATGTGGTTGAATTGCTGTCATGCAGTATATGTTCACATATTCCTCTGTACATGAATAAGATGGTATTGTATTAAAAGGCTATCTTATCTTTCTAAAGGAAGGAGCTTCAGCGCGGAAGACTCAAGCCCCAGCAGCACAGCCTGTGACAAGGCCAGGTATAAACCATGTTTAATTGTTTGAATAGTGTCTTAATTGCATAAGCTCCTGATGCCTTCCCAATGGAAAATAAAGGGCTCTTGCTAAATAATTGTATTCCATATACAGTATATCACAGAGGTGAGTACACCCCTCACATTTTGTAAATATTTTATTATATCTTTTCATGTGACAACCCTGAAGAAATGACACTTTGCTACAATGTAAAGTAGTGAGTATACAGCTTGTATAACAGTGTAAATTTGTTGTCCCCTCAAAATAACTCAACACACAGCCATTAATGTCTAAACCGCTGGCAACAAAAGTGAATACACCCCTAAGTGAAACTATCCAAATTGGGCATTATTAGCCATTTTCCCTCCCTGGTGTCATGTGACTCGCTAGTGTTACAAGGTCTCAGGTGTGAATGGGGAGCAGGTGTGTTAAATTTGGTCTTATCGCTCTCTCTCATACTGGTCACTGGAAGTTCAACATGGCACCTCATGGCAAAGAACTCTCTGAGGATCTGAAAAAAAGAATTGTTGCTCTACGTAAAGATGGCCTACATAAAGATGGCCTATGAGAAGATTGCCAAGACCCTGAAACTGAGCTGCAGCATGGTGGCCAAGACCATATAGCGGTTTAACAGGACAGGTTCCACTCAGAACAGGCCTTGCCATTGTCGACCAAAGGAGTTGAGTGCACGTGCTCAGCATCATATCCAGAGGTTGGCTTTGGGAAATAGACGTATGAGTGCTGCCAGCATTGCTGCAGAGGTTGAAGGGATGGTGGGTCAGCCTGTCAGTGCTCAGACCATGCGCCGCACACTGCATCAAATTGGTCTGCAGGGCTGTTGTCCCAGAAGGAAGCCTCTTCTAAAGATGATGCACAAGAAAGCCCGCAAACAGTTTGCTGGAGACAAGCAGACTAAGGACATGGATTAGTGGAACTATGTCCTGTGGTCTGATGAGACCAAGATAAACTTATTTGGTTCAGATGGTGTCAAGCGTGTGTGGCGACAACCAGATGAGGAGTACAAAGACAAGTGTGTCTTGCCTACAGTCAAGCATGGTGGTGGGAGTGTCATGGTCTGGGGCTGCATGAGTGCTGCCGGCACTGGGGAGCTGCAGTTCATTGAGGGAACCTTGAATGCCAACATGTACTGTGACACACTGAAGCAGAGCATGATCCCCTCCTTTCGGAGACTGGGCCGCAGGGCAGTATTCCAACATGATAACGACCCCAAGCACACCTCCAAGACGACCACTGCCTTGCTAAGGAAGCTGAGGGTAAAGGTGATGGACTGGCCAAGCATGTCTCCAGACCTAAACCCTATCGAGCATTTGTGGGGCATCCTGAAATGGAAGGTGGAGGAGTGCAAGGTCTCTAACATCCACCAGCTCCGTAATGTCATGGAGGAGTGGAAGAGGACTCCAGTGGCAACCTGTGAAGCTCTGGTGAACTCCATGCCCAAGAGGGTTAAGGCAGTGCTGGAAAATAATGGTGGCCACACAAAATATTGACACTTTGGGCCCTATTTGGACAGTTTCACTTAGGGGTGTACTCACTTTTGTTGCCAGCGGTTTAGACATTAATGGCTGTGTGTTGAGTTATTTTGAGGGGACAACAAATTTACACTGTTATACAAGCTGTATACTCACTACTTTACATTGTAGCAAAGTGTCATTTCTTCAGGGTTGTCACAAGAAAAGATATAATAAAATACTTACAAAATGTGAGGGGTGTACTCACCTCTGTGATATACTGTATTCGTATCATGTATATTAAAAAGTTGCTTTTGCTATAAAATAAGATTTCTCTGAAAGAGATCTCTCGGAGAAATGTTAATGTATTTAGATGGCACAGTATTGGGACTCTACTGGTTTTGTTATCTTTCAGTTGTGTGCCTATGCTTAGAAAGGTCATGCTGCCTGTCACACTTATCGCACTGGGGCTGTTGAAAATAAGAATGTATTTGGACAGGCAATGATATGAAAAGAGTAGAAATAGCAAAAGCAGAAATACGTCTGGATAAACGGTTCCACACGGGGTCACACTGGCAGATGAGATTTCACACACATTAACTGAAGGACTGTTCAGGCCTCATCAGTGCAAAGACTGGCCTATATCATGATTGACCCTCCATATTGCAGGGTACAAAGAAATATGTAAAGTGCCATAAAGCATCTGGAGAAAACATTCCCTCAGGATTATGCTAGAAAAAAACATTTAATTTCTTAGTTGTATTTATTTTTACAAGTTCATCAGTGTTCCTGATGGCATCTTACTAGTTTCATGGGCAATATACCATTTGAAGTTAGTGTGGATATAATCCTGAAAGTACTCAGTAAATTAGAACTCTTAAAACATGAAGGAGTTATCAATTTACCATTTGATATATAATAACAATATTTGTTACTAGGAAGATTAAAAATACCATGATAAATACAAATGGATTTCTTCCAGATTGCAATGTCAAAGTATGTTGCTCTCATGCTCCCATAGTCTTACAAACCTCAGGCATACCTAGGGCTGAGCAACTGCCTCTCCTAACTCCTCACTTCTTTCCAATGATAGTACTATAATTGAAAGAAGATTTCAACAGCCCTCAGTCAAGAACAGTTATACTGGGGGCATCAGCTATCCTGAAGTGCCAGGTGGTTGTGCATTCAACTCTGCATTTATCAGAGCAAAATAGTTACTTCTGGGATGTTGAGCTATTTAATTTCAACTTGCTACCTTGAAGTATAGTGTTCTTTAACATTGTAGCTAGAAATATGTGACAATATTTGCTTGAGCTACAATTGCATTGTTAGCCAATTGTGTTGGGGAAAACAAACCAAAAGTACCAGCTGAAAGCAAAATATACATAGTTACATCTTCTCTCTGTGCCGAAGGAGGTTTCCCATGTTCAGCATAGGAAAATATTCTTAAAACCCAGGTAGGTTCTATAGCTTAAGTAGTGTAATTACTGGCTTTTTGGTGGTGGTTTGGATCTAGTGAAACACTACCAAATAGGGCTGGCAGGAAGGGGATCTACCCCACTCCCTCCTTCCTGAAAAGCATCTTATGAGGATTTCAGAACATGGTGGGCAATGGCACAGAGGGTTAAGTGGGGAAGAAGACTTCCCCCAAAATTGGGCAGAGGCAACTCTTATGAGTTCTGGAAAAGGAAGGAGTGGAAAAGTCCATCTCTGGATCCAAGCATGGATCAAGGAAATTTCAATGAGAACAAAGCTGCTGTACCTTACAGATGTAAATCCTATTTTGTTTACCAGCCTGGTTGAGGTATTCAGCCTGATCATGTATGGCCACAACTTTTGTAGAGGACTGGGGTGCAAGTGCTGGTCCAGCCCCAATATCAGCATATGTGATAGCTACATACCTTCCATCCCCAAATCGCACACATGGAGTGTACAGAAGTGGGGGTTTTAGCTTCCTTTAGACCTGTAAACATGTGCTATGATGAGGCAAGTCAATAAAGGAAATTAGTTCCAAGTATTCTTCTATGCTCTTGAAGTTCTTCAGAATCTTTTTTCTATTAAGCTAAAACTTTTCTTTCTCTTAAAAATATGATTTCAGAATGTCTCTGATAAGCATTACCTAAATTGAGTGATAATTAGTGTTGTCATGTCTTATTTAGGCCTAGTAGATCTACTAGACTGGCATATAAATGAATTAAATAAATGAATGAATTACTCCAGCTGTGCATGTCGTGACTGAAACTCCTGCTGCTTGTGCATATGCACTGTCGTGTGTAGATGTAATCCCTTGGTATCACAAGTGTTTTGGAACAGTCTGTGTAATCTTGCATTCCCTTTCCATATCTTCTTACAAATTGGCCCTCAGCTGATTTAATTGCGATGTGTTCCTATTAAGGACAGGTAACCCAACTCCACGCTTTGCTTTTTAACTTCTGGATTAGAAGAACACCCCTGTTTGTGGTAACAGTGGATAATGGTATGGACCGTGGCAAATGAAGGGATTGTGATCCGATACCTCTATACAAGCCTCCAGTCAGTAGTATAAAATATATTCATTGTTTTTGCAGTAACGGTGCAATCCTATGCCACAGAATCATGCCCACATCTTGCCTACCAAAAGAGGCATGCGAGTTCTAGGATTACCCTTTGGTCTTGCTGGCCGCTGCTCACATAGTATATGAGCTCTGTGGAGCACTCAAACAGCACTTGAGATATTGCAGGGGATTCTGGGGCAAACTTTACGGAGGCAAAAACTGCTGTTTTCTGTATGTGGCCCTTTATTTTAAGAGGCTTCTTCTGCAATTGCTGTTATATCTCTAATTTTTATCTACCACTAGAATTACCTTGTCTTGCAGAATTCCTGCCTGTTCTGCCTAGAATTGAGTGATGTTTAACTCAGTACTGAAAAATATGTAAATTCTCCTTGCAGCAGTTCAACAGCAATTTTCTGCATTGTGGAAAACTCGGCATTTTATTTATTAAGTTACTTATTTATGTTTTTGTACCACCCACTAGCCAAATTTCTCTTGGTGGGTCACAATAATTAAAGTACAAGCAAACCTAATATAAAACTATCAACTTGTAAAACAGCTAGCAGCAGGGTAAAATTAAGCATAGCAATACATTTAAAAAGAAAACGGAAGAACTAAAAAGCCAGGTTAAATAAGGTCTTCACCCGGCAGTGAAAAGAACACCAAAGAAACCACTTTGGAGGTCATTCCAAAGCCATGGTCTTAGGGTTTGAACAGGTATATATGGGAAGAGATAAGCCTTCACATAACCTAGCCCCAAGCTGTTTAGAAATGCTGTTGATGTTGCAGATTTGCTCATATTGGTTTAACTGTGCTCTCCATTTCGTGGTATGTGTGGGGGGAAGCCCACTTTACTATTCTGTGTATAGGCTTTTGAAGCCCAGTTCCCAGCATATGTATTCAGACATAGGTCCAACAGAATTATAAAAACGGGACTTATTTCCTGGTTCCAACAAGAACTTCCTACTGTCCACTGGAAATATTTGACTAATGTGTATAACAGCACTTACACGATGTTTCTGTAGTGTGGTCAGATCACTTTACTAGGAACTTCTTCACATACTCCAATTTCTTACTTGAAATAAGATTTTGTGCTCATGCTCTCTTAAATGGGTCAGTGTGGGGTTTTGGTAATTGTCTACCTCTAGTGTATAGGCAGCTTTGTGCTTCTGTGGAGTCATATTGATCTCTAGGAAAGCAGCATGGATGGCTGTTGGTGCTGGCCTCTTCTTGCAGGGAGAGACTAAGCTGGGGGTAAGTACCTGCAGCCAAATTCCAATTGGATGTTGTAGAAAAAGGGGGTAGCCTGCTTGGTTTGTGTTTGGTAAGTGGGAGGAGAGGTCATTCTTCTGCCCCTGTGAGTGCAGAAGAGAATTTGGGTGCCTGCTTGCTCTTCAGACAGGCAGAATGTAGAGATGAGGCTTCAGCTAATCTGTAGTAATAGGAATGTTGCTGTTTACACTCTCTCACCCAAGGGGGAATGAGAAACCTTGATTATCCAGGGTCTTTTCTGGACAAGCTCATTTCTATCTCTGATTAATGCCTTAGCCATATAAACAAATTTGCAAAATAGCACTTTCACATATCCAAAGTGCCTCACATCCATGGTCCTCTTGTAATTCCTACAACAACCCTGTATGATACATCTATATTATTATCTTCATTTTGTAGTTTGGGGAACAAAGCTAAGAAGGTTGCTTGCCTAAGGCTATCTAGTAATTTGATATGAGCTGATTCAAATCAGGCACTCCCTGATTTGTGGGTTTCTCTCTTAGGTATACACCATAGGAGTTGGAGTAGACTGAAGATGTTTTTATTCCAGATGAGAATTGATTAATCCAATCTAGAATTAACATTTGTTTGATTAAGCAATTTTTTCTGGTGTCTTTTCCTCCACAGTTTCTCAAGCAAGGCCACCTCCAAACCAGAAAAAAGGTGAGTTGCTCCTAACATCCTTTTAAAAACCATAAACTGCTTATTTTATGTCTTCAATCCTGAGTGAGGATTTATGCTTAATTCTGCATTCTTTCATAATTTTAGCTGTAGAGGAAGGGGTAATTATGATGTTAATTGTATTTTGTTAAAATTGTATCTGCTACTTGTTAAAAAAAGTATCTCTTTACAGGATCTCGAACACCCATAATCATTATTCCAGCAGCTACCACCTCTTTAATAACTATGCTTAATGCAAAAGATCTTCTGCAGGATCTGAAGTAAGTAGCTGAGTAAAATATACTTCATAAAAGCCTGTCCTCAGATGTAAAAGAGAAGTAGCTGAAGAACTATTTTATTCTAATAACAGTGCATTCTGTTTTGTAATGACTGCTTTTTGATTTGGTAGAGGAACACTGATAACAGATATGTAGCTTACTTAGGAAGAAACAAACAAGCAAAACACCAGTGTGATTGCATTTTATAATGCGAGTATACAGACATGAGAGATGAATGCAGTTCTGAACAATATTATGGATTTGTTTTCTAAAACACTCACTTTAGTTTGCTTCAGTTCTATGGCCTTGCCATATACTTGAAGATAACATTTAGATAATATTTAAGCTAAATTAGGTGTAGATAATGTTTGCCTACCCACTTTTTCCAGATCACTGCCAGGAAGATAACTTAGGCTGCAAGCATCTTGCCAAAGTTCAGACAGGGCTGTATTGACACTAGTTTCGAATATAGTGCTCAGTATTAAAATATTTACCAGATGCAGTTCACTTTTACACACTGCTTTTCAGGTCAAAGGCCATATTCCATTTTGGATTATTATATTATTGCATTGCATTTATCTTCCTCTTCTGAGGATCCCCAGGTGGTTACATAATTCCATTTTATCCTCACCACAGCAGCCTCTGATGTAGGTTAGGCTGCAAGTAAGTGACTGCCCCAAATTCACCCAGTGAGTTTCATGGCTGAGTGGAAACTAGAACCCAGATCTCCTGAGTTGCACACCAGCATTCTTAACTGCTACAGTCTCTCTCTGGATAAGTTCTCAGAGGCAACACTGCAGTGGTGAACAGAGCTGAAAGCAAATGGGCAGAAACAATAGATTTAAAATATCAGCACATTTGTCTGAAAGCTTTCTACTGTTGGTAACTAACTTAGAAGAGCCATTTCAGCCTTCAGAATGGGGAGAGAATGCACAAATACCAGGGGTTTATTGGTTAGGAAAATAGGTTTGGAGCCAAGACCAACAGGTATTGACTTCTGGTGAATCCTAGCAGGTTGGATTGATATGAATGTGACTCCCAGGTTTGAGGTCCTATGTTCCTGTTACAGTTAGCTTTTTCATAAAGAAATATTTCACACCGAGGAAAGTTAAAATGCTGTTTAGTTAAAAATCAAGACAATCTATTTGCTACCTTGTTGGCTGCAGCAAAACCTTTTTGCTCTGTGTTTTATAGCCTCACTTCCAAATGAGTGTTTCTCTCTGAGATTTAACGCCTTGAACCTTAGATTAAATGTGATCTCTCTGGGGCATATTTGGAGGCCCAAATCCTTCCAGACATCCCAGAGCAGATTACCTACGGAGCAGATCAAAGCAAGTTCCAAGGTCAAGACTCTTCTGTGTAAATATTCAGAACAGTTCTGGGTCCATCTAAGCCAACATTGCGGTTTTCCACAGTCAAATGGGTCCAGGAATTCTACAGGCAAATTCCATCCCCCACTTTGTGCTCTTGAGCAACTTAGCATTGGGATATACTACTGGCTGCTGATAGACCAAGCCTCAGTGCCCTTCTAAACTTATCTAAGCCGATGACCACCACCATGGATGTTCTCTCTGAAGAAGGGCTGCTTTGTTCCCCTAAATATACTGCCAGTCTACTTTATTTCGGTACAACTCCAAGATCTAGCATTAATGTTGGGCTTGGGCTTGGAAGATCTAGGTTTTAGTCCCCACTCAGAAGTGAAGCTCACTGGTTGTCCTACGTCTTAGCGCTGTTTTCAGAACCTACTCCACAAGATAACATGGAGTGGAAGAGGAACATGTAAGTTGTCTTGAGTTCCTTGCAAGAGGGGAAAAAAGGCAGTATATAACTGTAATAAAAAATGAAACAATAAGAGAGGAAGCGATTTTCTTTTCGCTTCTCCAAGTCATTCACCATTATATAATATGTATCTACTCAAGGCTTTTTACCAAAACTAATAAACTCAAAATGTTTTAGCTTTCTTTGAAGGGAAGGTGCTCTGCAACAGTTGCTAACTGCAATTTTCTGCACTTTTTCCATTTGTCATCTTTTCTGAGATGAAGCAGTAGAATTCAGTGATCCGCCATTAGAATTTTTTTTCCAAGGGAAAGATTGCACTTTAATATCTAATATGGAATTTCTGTAGACAATAAACCCGTATCAGCCTTCAGTAGACACCTATGAATTTGTTTCTCACATTCCTTCATCAGATTCTGATAAAATTGCAAATGTGTTTGCTGACTTGAAATGAACTTTACAAATACCTCTGATGATTATCTCTGAGCTGATATTCCAAACTGATGTTTTTTGTCACAAACATGGGTCAGGAACACCAGCTGAAGAAAATGGTAAAGGTTGAGATACAAGACAAAAACTGCATAGTTTAAGCACTCTTCCTTCTTGCTGTTGCTTGAGTGCAAATAATTCCCTCCCATTACTAATTTGCAGCAAAAAAGCAGCAGCTGAGCTATTGGAATGCATGCATGAATTGGAAGGTAACATAGATGTAGTTTTAGACAAAGAAATTGAATAAATTTTATTTTGCTTTTGAGGCATATTTTTAAAGTATGTGGTGTTGGTGTACAGAAAAAAATCTAGCCTCTGTCACTGTATGAAAACTGAACAAATCAAACATTAAGAGATTTTGTATTTGCAGTTCTGACCTCCTTCACACACCTCTTTTCTGGGCCTTAGGAAATCGTACTGATTCACTTCTTCTCTCACTATTATTCCTTTGTCATCTCACAAATGCACTGATGTGGCACTGAAGCTTGATGACTTTGAGCACGGTTTCATTGTAGCAGGGCACATGAGGGTGTGGCTCCGTGGGTATAATTTTAATTATTTGCCTGTGTGTTATTCCCCAAAAGTTTGAGAAGGGAAATGTCATGTTCTTATTATGTGGATCCAACATCTTTCCCAGTTCTGTTGTTTTCTGTTTTTATGTTCCCTTTTATTTTATTTATTTTTTATAAATTTCCCTGTTTCACACATCAGTGGACCAAGAATGAATTGAGAAGAAACAAGCAAATGATTCTCTAAAAATCAGCAAATGTTCTGTTGAGTGATTTGAATCAGTTGCAGTAGCTGTTCTCTCAGCTGTAAGAAACTTTTACATGAATTGCAATGGCTTTTATTGCAGTAAGATATGTTATAGAATAAGAAGCTTGATCCAAGTTTCCATTTTTCACAGTCTCAGAAATCAGACATAAGGGCTTCTGTGGAGCGATTGAAAATGGTTCTGCATCTGGTATATGTGTTAAAAACAGAAATGCATGTTTGCTTTTATGTGTTCCTACAAAAGCCTGGGAAGTACCTTGTATCCTGTACCCTGATTTTCTAAAATGTATAATTATAGTTTGACCCAGCAGAGATGTTGTTGTTATTGTTACGGTTACACTGAATTTATATCCTACCATTTTTCTTTTGTGCGGAATTCAAGGTGGTTTACATAACTCCATTTATCCTCAGAACAACCCTATGAGGTGGGCTAGGCTAAGAGTCTGTGATGGGCCCAAAGTCACCCAGTGAGATTCATGGTCAGGTGAAACTAGAACCTGAATCTCCTGGGACCCCAGTCCAACACTCTAACCACCACACCGTACAGACTCTTCTCTGATAATAAAAATAGGCATCGTCTCCTGCTTGGGAAATCAGAAGTGGACGGTGAACTCATCTGCACCATATTCTTCCCATGGTCTGCTGTAGAAAAGGTCTGCAAACCAGCTGTGAGAATGGAAACCATTTCTACTTAAAGGAGTCTCCAGTGTCCCCTCTTCTGGAGCCTCCCCTACTGAAAACTGACTGAAAAGTTTTGAGGGAATACTCTGGGACAGCTTTTAAGGGGGGGATGTGCATTCGAGAAAGGGAGAAGATCTTCCCATTTCAGAGACTTTGGAGCCAAACTGAGATTCAAGATGCCTAAACTGCAAACACAGAAATAGAGCGAGTCAGAAGGGACCTCCCGGGCCATCTAATCTGACCCTCGGCTCCATCCAGCTTCAGTCATGACATGCCTTCCGTATGCATGCCTAGTAACACTGTACAATAACACTGTACAATTATTGATTCTAAGGAGTGAAAATGTGCTTGGGGTGGGCTGTAAGGAAGGAGAAGATATGGAAGACCATGGTATGGTTGCCTGTTTAGAAGATCAGTAGTACTATACTTTCAGTGAGCCTGTGACATTCTTTTTTAACCTGTTTACAACTAGGCATCTTTTGTTCTTGTTCTCAGCTTTATCCACAGTCTTTTTCATTTCAAGGTAACAAGAGTTACGGAATCATTAATGCTGTGAATCTACTTAAGCATGAACCATGGCTAAAAGAGACAAGATGGATGTTTTTAAAAACAGTAACACTGTTATTTTAAGCCCAGAGCATAATTCATAAAGGAATGCCAGCTGAAGTCTTAACATATTTACCTTAGTTCTTCATCATTATTAGGCCTCTCCTGTACAGTGTGCCATATTGATGTGCATATCATAATCAGTATTTCAATTTAAAAAATTCAAAATTTAGCAATAGAAAAAGGAGGGCAGCACCAGGTACAGCACCCTAGGTGGTTTTGACCAGCTGCTTGCTTCCTTATGTCACAGGGTCTGAGGAGCTGATGCAGCTCCTTTTCAATATTGTTTGGGGTCCCAAACCAGAACTAAATTAAGAGAAATTGCTTAGTAATTTCTGAAGCACAACACTTGTTCATAATTATGGAATATTTTGAATTTAGGATTGGCTGCCTCTCCCTCTTGTATATTAGAAACATAGAAACAGAGCGAGTTAGTAGGGGGTCTCCCAGGCCATCTAGTCTGACCTCCGGCACCAGCCGGCTCCATTTATGACATGCCCACCTTGTTGGCAAAATTCCACAGCTTTCACTGAGGTAGTAGTGAATTAGAAATGATGGTCTTTCCAGAAGATTCAAATAGGAAGATTTTAAATTATACTTCCAAGAAAATGATGTGAAAATTCTTTGGAAATGGTGCTCCTGGAAAGGAAATCTTCATAAATACATTAGGGATTCAGGGCAGTTAATATTTTGATACCGTATTTCCAGCTCTACCTATATATAAAACATAGTAAAACTGTGTTTCAACACCTTTGTATTTCTATTTTAGAAGCCTTGTTTTACTTAGATCATGCCTGTCCTCCTTTACAGAAATGAAATTCCAATGTTAAACGTTAAGAGTAATAGCTTTCATTGTCCAGCTATTTCAACAAATACTCAGAATAATGACATCACCAACATTAACTTCCCATAGTAAATTTGGTGCCTTTAGCCAAACTGACTTTAATATTTTATTAATGCAAAGAAGATCAGAATATTAATGGAGAAGTGTCTCTCAGTGGTGTACTGCGCTTTCCACCTTTAGTTTATAAGTGGGTGATGGAGATAATCTTGATCACTAGGAGAAAAAGGAATTCATTGCTGGTAATTGTACTGCTATTGACCATTCCCAAGAAGAACCCATTTATGACTTCTGAAAGCAAGGAAATTCAATAAGTGCATGGTTTAAATGTGGTGCTTGTATTCAGTCATTTACATTGTTAGAATACCAAAGATAAGTTTGGGGATTTGGCAGTGGCCTAGCTAACCATTTCTATTTCAGCACACTTAGGTGATGCTAATAGCTTACTGTCATGGATATACTTCTTAGTCAATAAACCTTACTTTTTGTATTTCTCTGGTCCAGATTTTTTCTTCTCAGGACTTGTACCTTCCTACCTTTGAAAACAACTGTAATTTATGTTTTACCCTAGTCTGAATTTCAGACTCTAAAGAAATTTCACATGCCACAAAATAGGATGAAAAAGTTATCACTTAGTCCACTGCTACTGCTTTGGTAACTGTGGGCAATATGAATGTGTATATGTCTAAATTGACTAATGCATATGATTAGGGTTCTGAAAGACATACAGTAGTTAACACGATTCATCCTAAAACTTCTGCCAAAATCAGTCTTTGAATGAAGTTTGCACATACAAGTTTTGTGTTACTGCTGAATCTCACTTGTCTTTGATATAAGCAGAATCTTGTGACACTTTAAAGACTGAAAGATATATTGTAGCATAAGTTTTTGTAGGCCTGAACCAGCTAGTATCTAACATGAAAGCATAGTAAATTCTTGTAAGAGCCTTCATTGCTTTTTAGTCTGTTGCAGATTAACATAACTGCCCATCTGAAATGTATTTCTAGTAGCACCATTTCTGGTATAAATATTTCAATGAAATACTTGTCGCCTTTTGTAGTAGCCAAGGGAATTCTTCAAATGACTTTGCTCAATTCAGAAGCAATGCTTGCTGTCAAGTACTTCAGTGTCCAATTCTGTCCAATTTCTGATTAATCTTTAGCCTGTGTACTACCTGTTGTTTTTTTAGCTTGCCTGTGCAAAATCAATTAGTACCAGTCTATTAATTCTTTCTCTATCTATTTGTTTAAGGTTTGTGCCATCAGATGAGAAGAAAAAGCAAGGCTGTCAGCGTGAAAATGAAACTTTAATACAGAGAAGGAAAGACCAGATGCAGCCCGGTGGAACTACAGTCAGTGTTACAGTACCATATCGTGTGGTTGATCAGCCTCTAAAACTTATGCCTCAAGATTGGTAAGGGATGATGTTCTATTGCTCTTTAGATTGCCCTTCCTCACCCAGGAAGTAAAACCATATAGTTATGTAAAGCACATTCAGATGTAATTCTGAAACTCTTCTTAATCCGTATACAACAATATCCTATGATGTTGAACTGATTTATGCACAAACCTAATTTCTTCATGACAAACATTTTTATGGCATTCATGTGATTTATGTATAAAACTGCTTACTCTCAGGGCTAACACCAGCAGCCATTAACTGCAGTAGCCCCACTGTGAATAAAGTCAACCACTGTCTTCTTAATTTCAAAACTGGAAATCTTACTGCAGCATTAAACGTACTCACTGAGCGATTGGATACCATTATCATGTTCCTAGTCTAAAGGGGTTCTGACAACTTAATATTATTGAAGAAGCACCCCTTTCTCACATGTTGCCAGCACTCTTGAGTATCATCTGTTTATAGTGCTAGGACTACAAAACCCACAATGGCTGGACATTATTTTCCATTATACAAAACAAAGCATTGGCAAAATTTTATACTGTGAGCCATGCAGAGAGCCCAGATATGGGCCATTGTAGTGGCATATAAATCCATTAAATAAATAATAAATATTAATAGTGGATCACTTTGAATCTCATTGACAGGAAGAAAGCTTGTTTCCTTTCTCCAAATTGCAAAACAAATTAGCAACATTCACAGAGAAAGAGTCACATCAAACCCTAACATTACTATGTTTCTCCTTAGCTAATGGTTATTTTTTACTTTGTAATATTGTTATATCATCATTCATAGTGTAGCCTTCTCAAGGCAATTGACCAAATAAAGCACTCACTGCCCTTATGAATAGTTCAGCATGGATTGAAATTACAGCTACACTCTGTTTTTTATTAGCTTGGTTATTGTCAAAGATGTCCTGAACGTGACCCACAATCTAATCATGTCTGCTTGAAGCATGGATATAGCCCTATGCTGTGTAGAGAACTGTTTAATTATGAACAACTTCGTAGTATCTAAAATATTACAGGAGCTAAGATATGCATATCTTTAAGGTAGGAACTTTTCTCTTGCTCTCATCATACTATATATGAGTAAAGTATGAAGTGCTTCTCTCCCCCACTCCCACTTTTTTATTTATTTATTTTTTTAAAATAGGGACCGTGTTGTGGCTGTATTTGTTCAGGGTCCTGCTTGGCAGTTCAAAGGCTGGCCATGGTTGCTACCCGATGGATCACCTGTTGACATTTTTGCAAAAAGTGAGCATCTTACTTTGAGCTAATTCTGTGGCATGCGCTTAATAATCAATAGCTATATTGTGGTGTGTTTGTGGCAGTGAAGCATCTGAGACTAATTGGCAAAACTGGTTTAGTAGTTTGGTTCTGCTTTTCTGAGGAAATGCTCAGTTCCCCAGAATTGAACTCTTAGTTCCCCAGAAATGAAACCACATGCACAGTCAGACTGAGGACTGAGGAGAAGATCACGACATAGAAAAGCAAAGGGACAGGAAACCCAAGATGGAACTGGACTCTCCCTCTCTTTGCATGTATAGTATTCTCAGTTGGAGAACACCTGAATAGAGCTCCTAAAACCTAAGTTTAGGAATCAGATACGGGCTACTGGATCCATGCATCCTTCCATCCACGTTGCATGTGAATTTCACCTACCTTTCCTCCCAGCTTTGGCATTCCATTTCTGTTTGGCTAAACTGAGTTAAAATGCACTTTCATATGTTCCTAGTTGATTGTTGTTTCTGATGTCATATGACATAGTGAAGAGGACAGATCTTGCACACAGCTGGTGAAGTACTGGAGAGGACACTTTGGTTTCCATATTTCTTCTTCAATATTCAGCATGAACCTGGCTGAAAATTAGAACAGTTGCTAAAGAGGAGTCAAAATCTGTGGCTGTGTTTTTAGTTTTATTATATAAACAGTCCTGTTTATATCAGGAAGTTCCACACCCAAACCCACAGAACTGGCAGGAGGGCCCTTATGCAATCTGTATTAAGGAGATACTATTGACTTCTGCCATGGGATGGCTTGAACACATCTCATACACATAATGCTGTAGAAAGCTAATAGCTGAAGGAAACAAAATGGGCCACATTTCTCTCTCAGCTTTATTTCCTCTTCTTGGATATGGCAATAATAATGACTTAAATTACAGATTGGTTGCAGAGTTACAAGAAGATAATGGATGTGAAGTACTTTGAACATTTAAAATCTAAGCCCTAAACAGTAACTATCCCGGAAGGAAGGAAGCTCAGTGCAGTTGGCAAATAAAATACGTATACTATGTATGTTTGTCCCACTGTTTGTCCTAAATCAAATCAAGTTCCAAAAGAAAAAATGTATGAGCAAAAACAGAGTTTCAAGGATGACTGTACAGACACTGTGCCTTGATAAATCCTTCTGTTTGATGCTGTAGCAAGTCTGTGGCTCCCGACCTTCACACACTTAAAGAAGCCAAACGGCAGCACAAGCAAACTGGCTTTCTTCCATGGTGAAGAGTAACAAAGATTTAAAGCTGGTTATCATAGATGGAAATTTTTAAAAAGAAAGAAAGCCGATTGCAGTAAGACCCAAGAAAAAGTCTGAACGTATCATGCAAATCCTGGATTAGGCTCCATCTAGAGCACATCACTCTATCTCCCAGTATCTCACAATATCTCTTTATCCTGGCAAAACTCCTGTAAAATTTCACTTCAACAAGGCTTAAAATAGTACTCTCTTTATCCTGTGTTTTCCAATCTGCAGGTCTTGATCTCTTGTAAAATAATTTGTTTATTTGAGTCCCATATAACAATTGCTGCTGGAGAGAATAATTTCTTTTATCCCTTCATTTCAGAGATGTCTGAAGTAGGCATTTTGAATGGAAAGTTTTGTTTTTTTGGCATTTTAACCAACATGAATATTTTATCTGAATGCCATTTTAAAGGTCTGCTTGCAATTGCATGTTAATGCAAGTCTATTGAACTTGAAGGTCACTTTTAGTGGATTGATTCTTGTTCAATATTTTTTGCTCCCAACTCAAAGGATCTGTTTGACATTCATAGATTTCTTTGTAAATGCATATATCTTTGACAGATATACTTTTACTTTCTGCAAAAGGAAAAGTCGGTGTAACGTAGCATGAGATTAATATTTTTATTATAAATGCTGGAGATGTCCTTGATAGATAATTGATATATTTAACAGACAGAATTCTTGTTGACACCAAAATGGATTTTTATGGGGGAAAAAAACCAACTTTAGGCACGTTAAGGTTTAATCCTATGCACATTTAGAGAGAGAAAAGGAGCTCCTTAGCTTACCTCTGGACTTTTAGCACCCTTTTTCTGTCCAAGCACACATTACAATGTATGTCTATGAAGGCATGGGATACTTCAGATTCCTATGGACCCACAGCTCTGATCCCCTCCCCGCACCTCTCAGCTAGCTGCTTTCCCAAGCTCAGAAAATCAGCCTCGGAGAAGGTGTAAAGGGGATGGGGAGTGAAGGAGGCTGTGGCTGTCGGGATAGCAGGCATCCTGGCCTGAATTGCGGAGCAGCAGGCGAGGGAGGCAGAGATGCTTCTGCAGCTCCTCCCACTCTGCACTGGATGCTGATCAATTCCAAGGTGTCTGTGCATCATGGGCACAGTGGAGAGCCTTGTGCCTTTCTTGTACCACCTGTCCATGATGGGACTTGAAATGCTTACTGGCACCCCTGCAAACAATCGAGTGTGCCCTATTTTTACTGTTAGATGTGTTTTTAATCGATGTTCAGTGTTCTGATGCCAGGCCTTTTCCATGGGAAGGCAGAATAATGATTTTATTTATTTATTTAAAACTTTTATATGCCGTCACCCCGTGCCGCGGCATCTCAGGACGGCTCACAAATGTACAATTAAAAACAATAAAACAATACAAATTCCATAAAATTATATAAAAACAAAAAGCGACTGTTAACGATAAAAATATTAATTTTTAAAATAGCAGTTAAACTAAAAGGTTTTAACCTGGCGCCAAAAAGAATATAAACTCGGAGAATTTAAATCAATAAGAAGATAAATGCATTTAAATAAATAAGAAGATAAATAAATAAGAGTTGAGAAAAGTTAGCCATCATGCGCCTAAGGTCCTGTCCATATATAACCTCTAGTGGCAACTTCAGTCTCTCTTGCATGTGGTTCAGGCTCCTGTCACAAAGGTAATACACGTAAGCGCTCCTCACAGTAGGTCTTGGTTAGTGCTGCTCTGTCCTACAGCAGCATTGCTCCACCATTCCACACATGGAGGCACGAGGAATAGTCGCATGTAACAAATGTGGAGCAGCTACAATACGAATCCCAAGCACAGGAGAGGAGGTTTATGGCAGCAGTTATGGATTGACAGGAAATGTATGAATTGGGCTTGCGCCTCTCTGTCTAGGGAGAATGTCCGAGACTCCCTTGAGATCGCATCTTCACAGAACATATTTAACCTAACACTTCATTTTTAAGAGCAGATGAGTTGAAACAGCCGCTTTGGGAAGACAGCATGAAAAGACTGCCCTCTGATACAGGATAATTGTACCATTCACTGTGCTGTCAGTCTATACTGTATTTTTCATTTCTATAAATGACTTGACCTCCATAGCACGTATGAAGTGAGCCTGAGCAAAAATCATGATTCTCTACAAGTTTAGGTAAAACAGGATCACATGCAAGGTAGCATAATCCTTGCTAATTTCCTGCTTTGTGGTGCTCACTGTTCTTGCCAGAATGCACGCATTCAATCTGAGTGCTCAGAAGCATTCAAACAGCATCTATTTTCAAACAAGCATTCAAACAACATCTTAAAAATGAAGCCTTCACAAAATTTGCAATTGGCTGGCAACAGGTGTGTGGAATGTATGCTTTTCTGAATTCCTTGGAGGAAGGTGAGATGAAAATTAGGGATGCAGTGTTCAATTAAGCTAACCAATGAATCAGTGATTAAAAAAAAAAAAAACTTAATTGACTGAAAAGATTCCTCCCCCAGTTAATCAGCTAGTAGGTTTTATGTAATTTCTCATATGAGTGCTTTAAAAACTGCAGATGGCAGGCACCTTGATAAAAGAGACATTCCTCCTCTTCTCCCTCAGAGATGGGTATGCCTCCTGCAGGAGGGTATCCGCTATGATGTATGCATCTAAAAACAAAGGAAGTAGGGTTCTTGCTTCAGAAATTGTATTTATACTCATATGCAAACATATGGAAAGTTATTCCATATTTCTAGATCACACTCATATGCGTAACCATTTAAAATACATTTAATCAGGCTTCAGCTGTAATAGAAATATAACATATATAAGCTTGTTATGATGGCAGCCCCCTAGAAGCTAAAATGTTTTCTCAAAATCCCAGACCTAAGGATCCAACAGCTCGTTCACATCCCCAAATCTCCTTGTATTTTATTAATTTTTATATCTGTCTCAGGAGCTCAGACATAGTGCCTTACTTTTTATCTTCTCTGCATTCCTGTGAGGATGATTAGTGCCTTTCTAAGGTATAACTCAGGAAATTAATATATGAGTAAGGATTTGAGCTTGGGTCCTCCAGCCTACAACTAACACATTTCAGCAGGCATCCCCACTTCATCCCTCACCATTAACAGGGCTGGTGAGTGTTGTAAGCCAAACTTCTTTATGGTCTCTGTGCATCACGCATATAAGCTGTGCACCTGATGTCCACCCAAAGAAGAACAGTTACAGGTAAGCAACCTAATGAGCCTTGCCGTCCTATGCTAAAATGGGCTGGTTCTGGAACTGTGAGAGTAGGTGGGATCTCCCCCAGGCTCCCAGTCGGACTTACATGAAGAACTAGCAGCTTCATGTTGGTGGTATCATTCCACAGTGATGTAACCAAGAGTGCCTCCACTGTAACAGGCATTGAGGTTCACCACATGTCATACAGACTAAGCTTTCATGAAAGCCCATCACACTCCTGAGGGCACCACTGGAGAATCACCATGTGGCTGGCTCTTGGCCTTGACTTCTGATTCTGAACCACAAATGTGATTGGGTTTTAGAGTGATTAATTGCTGTGTTGTCTCTCCCCATCTTGTTTAGTTAAAGCTTTCCATCTTAAATACGACGAAGTTCGTCTGGATCCAAATGTTCAGAAATGGGACGTAACGGTGTTAGAGCTCAGTTACCATAAACGGCACTTGGACAGACCCGTGTTCCTTCGTTTCTGGGAAACACTGGACAGGTAGATATCAGTCTGGAGAACTGATACTTTTATATGAAAGGTCTCAAGCCACTTACCAGATCTTGCAAGCTGCTCAAAGATCCAGAAAATTCCTCATACTCAAAACATTTGTACGAGGTCAAAACTGTTCAGCCACCTCGTTCAAACTGCATCTTCGTAAGTGATGTATAAGAAATCCATAACAGTTGCGGGGGTCCTGCTTTTCCCTCTCCTACCCTGCTTAACATGGATGTAAGGACTGCTGATAGCAGGATAAATGTATTTCTGTACTGGATGCACTGGGAGCTTGTGAATGCCCATACTAGGTGGCATAAAGGTAGACACAGTAACATGCCCCTTGCTCTATATTCATTCCTTTTGAAATATAGTAGATCTGACACAGTCTGTTCCTTCTCTCTCCAGCCCCCATAAGGTTTGGGGCAGGAGTCACCAATCTTTTGGAATATGTGGGCACCTTTGGAAATTTGTGAAATGGTTGCAGACACCAACACGAAATTTCTGCTGCAGAGGACATAATCATTGCTGCAGGACCTGACTTGTCCAAAGACAAGTAATTCATGCCCAAATCTGGGTACAAGTAGTGGGAGGATCTGGACTCTGAAGCCAGTCCACACCTTTGACCCAAGGAACCACAGCAAAACACTCATTTAAGGTTATGGTCCTATGCCTACTTACATGGAATTCACACAGTTACTTCTGAGTAGGCCTATGCAAGATAGTTTTGTTCATCCTATCTCTGTGTATACATATCCCAACAAACACTCTGTCTCATTCCTGGAGAAAAGGAGGAGACCCCAAAGCCAAAATGGAAGAAAAATGGCTGTGCCTTGAACCCATGCTCAGCCACTCCATTGCCATGCTAGTGCTTCTAGCCACTTCTCTGTCATCAGTGGCCCTGCCTGGCAAGGTGCACTGTGTGCGTGTTTAAACAGCAAGAAAAGGGGCTATAGAGAGAGAAGATAAGAAAGGTCTGCATGACCAGAAGAAGGTGGTGTGGAGCCAGGAAGCATCACTTTCCTTCTCTTCCGGCTTACAAAATGGCTGATCAGTGGCAAGCTGAGGAACAGGAAGAAGAACTTGTCCCTTAATAGTTTTCAAGGTTTTTGTTAAAATGCATGTTTGAAGATGAATAGAGAGTGGAGAGCTTTGCGGCTCTCCATAGACACTGGTACTGGGACTCCTGGAATATAGGAATCTATACGGAGTTGCATTAACTTTCAGAGTTTTACCTAGGACAGCAGTAGTTATCATTGGTTAACTAGGGAGCCAGATGAAATCACACCAAGTCTTCCACTGGCCAATAACCATCAGCAAGTATAACTATACCCCCAACATCATTTGGTCCCTAGCCCAGGTGTTTGCTGGAACTCTTCCTGCTTGTAGTTCAGCTGGGGATCCAGCTTCCATGCATGCAGGTTTTCCCTAACTAGAGAAGAACCACAGTAGTGAAACCAATCAAGACAACAGTGCAGCTTTGCCTATTCTGTCCTTTCCCCATTAGGAAGGCTGTGGCACAGTAGAAGCCAGGCAAATCCAGAAGAGTAAGTTGAACTGAGGTAGCTCACCTTCACTCTGACCCACCTGCAGGATAGCCCAGGTGGAACTAAGTAGTCACCTTTGCGCCAGCTTCTCTGAGCATCTGCACGCTGAAGCTTTCCCAGTGAAAGCACTTCTTGGGGAGGGTACAGGGCAGGCTTCCCTGTGTAGTAGCTGAGTCCAGCATCTTCTTTGCATACTGTCCCTACAGAGCTGGTACACAGCCAGTGTCCTGGCACAACACTGGGGATTCCTCCCATGTGGGTGGGGGGGGTGGGTCTGGGAGAGAACATCCACCAGGCATATTGGGGTCCCCCAACATCTGGAGTGACTGGAGACTGCCGTTCCCATTATGGCATCTTTTCAGTACAAAATGAAGCCCTTTCTGATTTGCCCAGCATTTTTAATGTTGTGTTCATTTTATTCTGCCTTTTAAACTGCCTTCTAAATGTCCTTGTTTGATATCTTTGCATTTTGTCTAATTTGTAAGCCACTTGTCAAAGAGCTACTAATAATTTTCGAACACCCATCTGCAAGTACTGTTTCAGATCTGCCCCCTTCTGAGATAAACTCGATCTCCATTTTCAGGCTGAGACTCAGGGTAACAAAAGTCGTACAGTTATGAACTCTTGATGGAGAGTTCATTGGCAAGTCTATTGTGGAAAGATTTAATTGTCACAATCAATGTGATAAGGAGAGCTGGAATGAACAGTATCTAGCTGCAAGTGCAAAAACCAGTTTCTTGATTTTACCACCTTATCTAGCTGAGTTCTTGTATCTTGGTTTGCTAATGTCGCTTTTTACCTATGAGGATGCATGCCTGAACTCTCAGAATTATGCAGCTGTTGCAGTTTGGTTTTCTGCTTTACATTGCAGGTACATGGTGAAGCACAAATCCCACTTGAGATTCTGAATTGTTCGCTGCCATTTTGTCTTCTCAAATCTTTGATTAAGGACTCTGGAATCAACTCTAGCCTAGAGAGAATCCTCCCTCTCCATTCTGATCAAGAACATTCTGCAGATAGAAGGGGAGTCGTGGTTCAGTACTTTATAAGACCGCGTTGGATCACCATGTTGGAATGACAGTCCCAACAACCAGTCATCATTGCAAGCAAAAGATTTTGCTCAAAACTATTTTTAATAACATAAGCCTTCTAGCCTGCAATTCAAATTGTATATTTTGATAGCAGCCATTTCCCCCATTTTGTTAAATTAGCAACATTTTTACAACATCTTTTTTGTTCTTCAATAGACTATAGGTTGATTTTCACAGAAGGTTACGAACGTGTGTGTGTATGTATATATAGGTATAGATATAGTTGTTCTAACCCACTTTGCTTCTGAGTATAGTTCTTGGTTCTTTGCTTTAATGTTTCACTTGTGGAAAACATTTTGTTTTGATTGGTATTATCTTCTAGCCTGAAGAATTTTAGGAACTGAGCAAAGTCAAGACTGCTTTAGATTAATCAAATTGTCAACCTTGTATATGTACTGTATATTCTTTCAGTCTTTGGAAAAGGGATGAAAAAATCCAGAATTGCTTCTTTTGTTATGATAATAGTTTACCAAAACTGTAAAAAGAATCATTATGAATACATTTGAATTATAACATTATCCATGCAAATTCTTTAATTTAAAATGGTGTGTGCATTGGACCCCACACTGAAGCATATGTGAAGCTCTATATACACAAGAACATCTATAGAGTTTGGGGGCATCTGAGATTTATAGAAGTCAGAATTGGCAGAACAGAATCATAGAATCAGTTCTAATTCCAATAAATATACATCATTTTTCCTGACTGCATTCTCACATTACTTTGGCAATATGGGAACTGGAGCCAACCCTATGGGAGGTTTTTTCTGCTGTCTCTTCTTCACCCCCCAACATTAACACTGGCATGGAGCTTCTTGTTATCCTGTGTGAAGGAGTAGCGTCCCACACTGCCAAGGGAACGTCAGAAGCCAGTCTCAGTGGCATCAGAAACCCAAACTCACTCCAGTTCCAGTCATGACTTGTTAGGTCCATTTTTCAGCATTCCCACAAGTTATAAACTTTTCAGTAACCAAAGAACATGTGCGCTTAATTGGGAATGAGCTAAAGAGAGGTGGGAAAATGCTAGTATTTCTGTGAATTTGTATTTTATAATATAATTGCTGAATGCTGAATACCAGTGGGTAAACAAAATGATCTTACACGTCACGTTCATATGGATTTTTTTTGAGATGACAAAACTAATATTTCTGTTTTCAAATCCAGAACCATGTTTTTATGCTGCGCATCTGAGGTCTTACTTACAGAAGTAAAACATTCTGCATATTCTTTCTTAGTTTTGCTTTCATTCATTTTCTAACTGATTTATTGTGTAAAAGTTCCTATTGAAATTTGAAGGCTTTTCTTATTATCACCCATTTAAGATGCAATTGAAATCTAAATGACTTGCAGGATACTCCAAATACTTTTCATATTTATTTCTGATATACAGACACTGTGATTTCTACTTTGTTGTAGTTATAGCAAGAATCAATTTTTCAGACTTTCTGTGCTTTTTTAGTGATGTTAAGGATTCACAATGGTAGTATTTTTGAAAGAATATCACAATAGAAATAGTTAGATGAACTAAATCAGAAATGGAATGCGGTTTTTAAAATAAAAGGGATTTCAGAAATCTCTCTTAACACTGACTCCTCCCGCACTTTTTTTAGGGCTATGAAGAATCAGAGTTGCTCTTATTCTTGTATGGTGAAATACAGCTAAAACATATTCTTAATGTACACACTTAATGTTATAGCTACAGAGAAGAAACCCTACCAATTAACTCCTCTAATACTGCAAATAATAACACTGTTTCATTTCTGCAAAACAGATTGCTTTGACTGGAATTGCCAAATCTTGAGGATTATAGCTCTTTATCAGTGCTCTCTGAGAAGGCCCTCACATGAACAAACTGTGCACAAATGGGTTTCCAAGTTTACTTCAGTGCCATATAAGAATCACTTTACACTTCTGTATCTTGTGGTCAAAATGAATGAGGAAGGTCTTCTCAGTAGAGGACTCCTGTACAGTGGCAGCCTTTGACAAAAAGACCACCGATTAGACTCATGGGGCAAACCTGGCACGGGCAAGAGGCTATTTCACACAGTGCATAATAAACATAACATTGCTGCAAGGTGCATTGAAGTGTGTGAACTGAGATGGCTTCTTGAAAGGGTTGCATACATTCATGCAAGAGAAATTTGTCAAAGGCTGTTACAGATGAACGTGGCCTCCATCCTTCAGATGTGGGATGCCTCCAGATAGCAGATACGGATGCCTTCTATGAAGGTCCAAGAGACATCTGGCTGACCACACCTGGAAACTGAATGCTGAGACACATGAGCAGGCTCTTCGGTTCCTTTGGGAGATGGAGCTATGGAAAGGTGCAGCACGAAACATTTTTTCCTGTCATAGCCCACCGCTGAAAGAGTCTGCTTCCAATGTGGTTTGTTAACCAGCCTTCAATTAGGAATCACAAAGATGTTTTTATAATGTCATTTCACTGAGTGCCAGAAGGATCATGGTTTCCCTTGTAGCATGTGCTACATCTTATTAGCCCAATTTCTTTGAGCTTATTCAAATCAGAGTGCTGTAGAATTGATAAACATGCCTTGGAAAGTATAAGTGATGTTCATAACTGGTCTCCATTACTTTAACTGCTGTTTCGTGCTTTTCTAAAATCAGCTAAGGTCTTTCACGACCTCCTGAAACAAATCTTGAGCCTAGTGTATGTATAAGCAGTTACCCATATACATGATCATTAGCAATATAACTGTGCGGTCACAGCCATCATAGCCCATTTTAAGCAACCCCCAGATCTGAGCAGATCTTAACCATGCTAGTGCAACCTCCCATTTGCCAGAATTTGTATTCGCTAGATGAAAATTATCCAACCATGTGATATATCTAAAGGAAGGTAGCAACTTACTTGAAATGTTGTGGTCCTCCAAAAGCACTTAACCTAATGAGGGTTTGAATTATTTATCCCATTATTGCTTTTAATCCTGCCTGTCCTCCACAGGATAGTATATGTGGTTCTCCCTACTCCTAATTTGACAAGAACACTGTGAGTTCATTTACACTGAGTACAGCTTTGCTCAGGTTAGGTTGCTCAGTGAACTTCAAAGCTAAACAGGGTTTTGAACCTTGTTCTTTCCAGTTCTAGTCTTCCAGTCCGGCTACTGCACCAAGGGCAGGCAGCTTCCAATAGCACCAGCTGAAAAAGTATTCACAGTTGCTGGCTGCTGCTGCCCTCGTTGCCTCCCCACAGCTGCTGCACTCGCCTCCTCCCCCGAAACCCCAAATTTATTTCCCCTGCCACCACCAATGCTTGTTTTCACATCACCAACCCTAAGGACTCCGTGAGGACATCAAGGGAAAGGAAATTTGCCTTTCTGTATGGAGTTAATCCAGGTCTTGTATGGTCTTCCTTTTCTTTTTCTGCCTTAGACTTCCCTTAGCATAATTTTCTTATCCTGTGAGTCTTGAGAAAAAACATGATGTGAAAAGAAATACAAAATTATGAAAATTTGGGATAAATTATGCAAGCTAATGTAAAATTATACCGATTTCTTCAGTTGTAAAATACAGGTCACATAGTTCAGTTTTTTCAGGAACGCAAAATAGACACAGCCTGGCTCTTCCCCTCTCCTTCTGATGCATTTTATTTCCAGTGGGTAAAAACTGATGCATCATCCATGTAACACTTAGCAGAACACCATAAACCAGAGATGGGGAATCCTGTAGCACTCCAAATGTTGCTGGATTACAACTCCCATCTTCACAAATGGCCATGTTGGCTTAGACTGCTAGGAGTTGGAATCCCAACAAAATCTGGAAAGACACAGGTTTCCACCACTGCCATAAACAGCAGAATTTGATACAACAATATACTTATCAATGATTAGTATCTTAAAAATACTCAAAACCATTTCTACCAAGTAAAAGACCAATTTAAAACAATAGCATGCCCATCATATGTCTCATTGAATGGTGTTTTAAAACAAACTAATTTGGATTTACAGGTAACTTATCATATTCTTGGCTGCAGGGTATAAAATTAGGTCCACACTGCACATTTCAAAGGATCCGCCAAAGTTACAAAGCCAGATAACTTGTTACGGATAAGGACACAAGTGGGTGTTTCCATGTTACTGTTTTGGAAGGCTGCACTGGAACATCTCTCAGGCTCCATCCAGTAGGGATGTGTGAGAGTCATGTTCTTACACCACTTTGGAGAAGTTTACTTTCATTAACCAAGATTCCAAATCTTCTAGAAATGTTTCAGTACACATGATCCCACTTGGATCTGGATTCCTAAATCTTAAATACTTTTTTGATCTCTTCAAACGTTTTGCAAAATGAAGTCAGCATTACAAATCTCAAAACTGCTCATTTTTGATAGTTGTTGCTAGTTGCAAAGTCGTGTCCGACTCTTCGTGACCTTATGGACAACACTCCTCCAGGCCTTCCTGTCCTCCACCATCCCTCAGAGTCCACTTAAGCTCACACTGACTGCTTCAGTGACTCCATCCAGCCACCTCATTCTCTGTTGTCCCCTTCTTCTTTTGCCATCTATTGTTCCCAGCATTAGGCTCTTCTCCAGGGAGTCCTTCCTTCTCATTAGGTGGCCAAACTATTTGAGTTTCATCTTCAGTATTCGGCCTTCTAAAGAGCAGTCGGTAGTTTTGATAGTATACTTTCTTAATTTAAGGCCATTTGTGAAGAGTGTGTTGTAAGTACCATAAGGAGCCCTTAATGCAGGGGTCTCAAACGCGCGGCCCGCGGGGCAATTGCTGGGACGGGCGGGGCACGGGGCAAGGGCCCTGCAGCCTTCAAAGCGCCAGCGGCGCCTGAGCCAGCCGTGGGATGAGCGGCCCACCACCACCGTGGGGGTGGAATGCTTGATGCGACCCAGCCTCACCCAGACTCTACTTCCAGCGGCCCCCAGGTAAGTTGAGTTTGAGACCCCTGCCTTAATGTGTGATTCACAATGATGCCTCTGACACTAAATAGATGGTTTATGCAAATGCCAGCTTTGTTTGTGACTTCTGTTTTCAGTTCAGTCGAAGCATAAAACACACCACTTCCCCTCTGTGGATGCCACAAAACCATTGTATTGGTGCAGCTTCTCAGTCTCTCGCCCAGTGAAATATGCTTTCACTTGGTGGTGCTTGCTAATACTCTCTCCACACAAAACAAGCCGGGCAAAATTAATGGCTTAGATGGCAATTTTAAAATTTAATGTTGCGGGGCCATGCTTGTTTCAATTCAGGAGCTATAACTAATGCCAAGCACTTTATTAAAGTAATGTGTTCATGAAAAATTTAACACCCCACCTGGAGGAATTGTTGGCCTAGCGGGTTAAAGTTCACCCAACCCGCTGGCAGCAATTGTCAATGGTACAATATACCATGTAAATCAGATTCTGTGGAACGTCACATTCTGGCTGTCCAAATAGTCCTATAATGAACACTGTGTTTCATTAAAGAAAGCGTGCACACTCGATCTGAAGAATTTTGCCTTGGCTGTTGAGCCGTGCAACAGTCTTCCTCTTTCGCAAAGACCTTGTCAATGTTTTATGTTTTGCAGAGTATTGAGGAGAGATGGGAAACACAGGACTGAACCTGCCTTAACATTTCACCACTATGATCCTGATAATTTCACATGGCATCTGTCATCTGAGTAATGTAGGCCTCCCATGTCGCTTGCTCTCTCTGTGATGAGCAATATAAACTCTGAGGAAATGGGATGCGCTTAGTAGAGCAGAACCCACGCTGGAAAGAAGCAGCTGTTGGCAAGCTGTATTTCCAACTTCACTTGGATTGATCCTTCATGAAGTGCAAGCCATTATAATAATGCTTACAAATGAGCAGAATGCCAAATAATCTTAATTACTGGATGGTCTTTTAATCCATGAAAGAATGATAAAATAGTATATAATTGATGTTCCTATTTCCAGATTTAACTTGCTTCTCTTTGTTTTTCCCCAGTTTGCTTCTGTCAATGCTCGAGAACTGGGTGAAAATGTGAAGCTGCCTTATTCAGAGGCAGACATGGATTCCTCTTACCAAGGACAGGTTCCTTTGGTAGCAGCTCTCCATAGTGTCAGAGGAACTTCCTTTTAAATACAAATTCTTCCTCTAACCAAAGAATATGTTATGGCACTGAAAAGTTGCCCTTTCCCACACAGAGTTAACCCACCTTGAGCCAGTCAACCAACATAAAGTAAATCCTTTAGACCGGGGTGGGTGACTTGCGGTCCTCCAGATATTTTGATCTCCAAT